AACTCGAAAAACCTACGTTTTGTGAGACAATCTTATTCATTATGTTTATAGCAATGGAAAAAGAGCCACTTGGAGGAAGGAAAATCAAATCTTCATGCATCGTATCCAAAAAGTTTTGACCTGCGCTTCCACTTCATGGCAGAAATTTTCATTCACACGGTCTTAAACTAGCGATAGTCACCTTTGTTTTTGAGTAAAGATGTTTAGACGGACAAACGCAGCATAGTAAAATGTCTAACCAAAGAGGCAGAAATCAGAAATATAGCCATGATCGACAGATATACAAGCTCTCAAACTTTAAACTCAGCAGCATTACACGACAAAAGTGGTGTCAAACTTTGCAGCTTCACTAATGCATAAAGTGAGGAGCTAAAATAAAAAAAGTATAAACTACAACAGTAAAGCCGACTTACTAGAATCTTCAAATCCCTTGATTGTTCCACTTTTCGGTTTTTCAGTAGCAGCCCACGCTAGCATAAGCTCACGTTGTTCGGCACTCAGATGACTGCAAAGAGAAGCTGTTATCATCTGGTCACCTTTATGCATTTATTTATACATGTTCGAGGGAAAAAGATTTTGATTGGAATGCAATCATCAAAGTAGAACAAGATAAGCACTTATCGCGCTTTGTATCCCTTCCTATAAAAGAAAACACAACTTACCTAGGAACAGCAACTTTTATATGGATGTACTGATCACCGTATCCCGCGGAATGCAATCGCTTCACTCCTTTGCCAGATAATCTAAACATTTGGTACTGTCATTTCTTCACTTTTAAAACCTAAACGTGAGATCAGACCTCATCTTTGTATGACTAGCAGTTCCAGGTGGTATATGCACATAAATATCTTCCATAATACCCGGAACCTTGACTGTGCCTCCTAACACTGCCTGGGCAATGCTGATTTCAACGTCACAATGTATATCGTCCTTGTCTCGTCGGAACTTCAGCGAAGGAGCAACGTTGAACATCATGTATATTTGGTTCTATGAAAAGGTGGAGATAATGGAAATGTAGGGTACTAAACGAAATATTCAACAT